TTTCTTTTACCTCTTCCTTCCCCAGCCCATCTTTGCTTTAAATATTCTTTTGAGGTGATAGAGACTACCACTAAGGTATAGAACACAGGCATATGTATTTGGACTGAGAGTTTATACTATGATTCCATTGTAAATAGAGAGGAAATGATGAGAAGCAGCAGGAGAAAGCATGGCTCTCGTTAGCTTTCATCAGCATAAAGATGACTGTAAGGGACAATGAGGCCAAAAGAAATCAAGCAAAAACTCAACGAACTGTTTTCTATTTACAACACTGTTATTGAATATTTGAGTTTTGTAAAAAGCAAGAATTAATGAGGAAAGCTAATAAATTTCCAAATCTTTTTTTTTTTCCTGTCCCCTCATGTAAAAGCAAGTTCAGCAAAGGCGATTTGCATGTAAATCAACATTTACCTGACACGTGCACTTTTCACGCTTTGAATAAACTGTGACATGAAAAAGATGAAAGACACAGGATGTGTATAAAAATCTTTAAACGGTAATTGGCAGACACTCGCCATAAATATTTATTAAGCCAAGAAATGTCCTTTTCTGTTTCCCTGCCGCTGTGAATCCGGCTTCATCTCCACCATCTTCTCTCATTCTCATTAGTAGTACTTCTCTTTCATGATGGGGTTCAGACCATATCCTGATGTCTGAGGAGGGAAGATAAAGGTGCCTTGGAAGGAGGATTTTTTTTTTCTTTCTTTCTTATATTCTGCCTTTTGAAGCTGTAGAAAAAAAAAAGTTAGGACAAAGCTGAATGCCTGAAACATTTGAAAGGAGAGAAAAGCATAAATTAGAAGATGAGGTAAAGTTGGGATTGGTTTCATTGCTCTTCCTTCTACCACCCTTTTAAATTAGGCTTCTGGAGCCTATTTTTCTGTTATCCATACAGAGGTAACAGTCTGTGAACATTAGGCAATGATTATGGCATCTAGAAGGAAATTGAGCATTCTACTATTGCTTGAAGGCCTACTGGTCTCTTGAAGATATTTGAGATGAAAGAGAAAGCCAGGATGAAAAGCTTGCCTGTGGGTTTTGTCTTGTTGGGAAATATTCTGTTTGGTTGACCTGTGGATGTTATTCAACCAGAGCCTTCCATGGCCTGCCCAAGTTCAAAAAGTCTTTGCAAAGTAACCCTGCAAAAGAGGAACTTGTTTCTAGCTATTACCTTTACATCTCATTTTTCTTCTCCTGTTTCTCCAATCCTGACCTCCCTTGTCATGACTAGCCTGTGTCATCACTTTTTTAAATGCTGATAATTTTAGTAATGAATCAGGAAATTTATTTTAAATAGACTTATTCTAAAATCTCTCTCCATCTCATACCTGAAATGCCTTCCAACCATTAAAATGGGAAAGAAGTTCCTGCAGGCCAGTACCTAATGATAACTCATACAATTATCTCATCTCCCTGTCCATTCTCAATCCACCTCAAGTGCAATTTGGATTAATTCCAATTTCTACAGGTGGTGAGCAACTCTCATTAACATCAGTAATTAAGAATGAATCTAGTAAGGAAGTACAGAGCTTTAAAAGATCCACTATTGTGTTGGAAATGTCTTTCTCTGTGTGTGTATATAGGTGTATCTACAAATCTGCATTTCTTTTGTTTTTATTTCTGAGCTTTTTTGTTTGTTTTGAGGTCAGACTCTGGGTAGTTCATAATGGCCTCAAACTTGCTGAGTAATCTAAGCTAGTCTTGGTTTACTTATAAACAACCTTATAATTTTACTCATCTCAATATTTTTATCATTGTTTCTAAAAGCTACTGACAAATATCGTGAATGAATATTCAGGTCTATCTAGAGATCACAGAGCAAGTATTGAAATAGAGAAACAAGGCCGAAAACCCCTAGCTTTTAAATTGTTGAAAGTACACCTTTCCATGCACACCACCTTTTATTGTGAAGTATCAGTTATGTAAATAAATTTGTGATTATTTGATCAACTTTTCAAAACTATGACTTCAACAGCTTCTTGGAATTGGCCAGCTGCCATGTAAGTAATTAAAGTCTCATCAAAGTGGCTCTCAAGGCCTTTATAAATCTCAAACAGTCTATGGTCAAAGGACCATGTGCAGAGTTTCTGTGTGCTTTTATTAGGTATTTACAAAGGACCTGCTCCCCTTTCCTGGGCTTAAAGTACATACTTCAAATAGAGTCCATTTCAATTGCTACCTGACTGTTTACCTTTAATATCTCCACAAGGATTAAAGCAAACATTCCTGATTAAATGTTAACTTATTTTAGTCATTTACTACAGGCATATCAGACATCCCTATTATGGGTTGTATGTGAACAGTACTTAATGTGGAAATTACTTTAAAAAGAAAAAATAATACTTGACAAGGAGATGGAATAAATCATTTCAATATTTCTGAGGTCTCACCTTTTGGAAAGCTTGTTACTAAATCACGGAATGTGAAATTATATGTTCAAAACTCTAAGTTGCCAAAAATACAGTGTTGCAGTTTAGAATACTAAAAACTTTCACTTACTTTATACAATAGTGCATAATTTATAAAATGTAAATTAAAGTGCTATTGAAAGTGGCATTGTAAAATGATGCTATCCTGTATCCTTAATAGATTTTCTACCATTCTTCTATATCAATGGACACTTCAAGAATAATGTCAGACTCTTCCTAACTTTAGAATATTCTGATTTGTTTCTTTTGTATTTCTTTAAAAGCCATGGTTTATAGTAGGTGGGTTTTATTCAGCTTAGCTGTTGTTTCCTTAAATCAGGCAGTGTGAAGAGAGTAGGTTAAAAAGTCTTTTTCCAAATGCCAATTATATTTGCCAATTCTTTTGACTGTATTTCTTACCACAGACTTCCATCTTTCCTCCTAATACTCCCCATTCCAGACCTCTCTCATCTATTGCTGAGGTTACCATGATTGTATCCTAACTGGATTCTTTGAACTTAGTCTTTTGTCTGTCCATCCACTATTCACATTTTAGACAGAACTTAAAAGCAAATTTGTGCATCTTGGTTTTCTCAAAAGTAGCTCTTTTGTAGATTCTCTTTCTCTACTTTTTGAGCAGAGCATGTGACCAGCAGAGAGCTGTCAGTGGAAATGTTGCTCCAACTGTAGACCACTAGATTTGATCAAAAAAGGTAATGGACAGTATCCTGGCTTTGAGTTCTAGCCCCAGTTACACACACAAACACACACACACACACACACACACACACACACACACACATACACACACACATTATATTGTAGTATAGGGGAAAATTTCACATGGTATTGTCTTGTCCATTCAGTAGGTTAATTTCTAGATTGATTAAAATCTTTCTCTAAACCTCAATGCAGAAGTTATCTGTAAAACAAGAAGTGGGGAGGGAGGAAGGAGGAAGGAAGGAAATATAAGGTATATTAAATAGGTAGGTTTCATTAGGTAGCCGATGAAGAGAATACCATGCGCTATTCAGGCAGGAGAAGAAGTTTATTTACTGAACTGCTGCCCCGGCCTTGCTTGGTGGAGAGGCATGGATGAAAAAGGGGTGACCCACTCCTGAGCTTGCACTTATCTAGGCCAGGAACAGGAAGAGGTGTGGCCAGGTGGGGGAAAGGTGTGGCCACACTGGATCAGTTGTGCCCTCAGGGTCTGGGACCCCCCTAAGGTCAGATGGGAGGCATGTGACCAGAGGTTGCCCAGGATGTGACCTAGCAGGAGGGGAAGGTGACTGCTTCCAGGTCTGACAGTTACCTAGCTAACAGACACTGGACAGAAACTTAGCCAATAGGTAGGGAGGTGTCCCTGTGCAGACCTTACAGGAAGCAAGGAGGGAAGGAAGAAAGGAAGGAAAGAAGGGAAGGAGGGAGGGTGAGGGAAAGAGGGAAATGGAAGGGAAGGTGAAAGAGAGAGAGAGAGAGAAAAAGAGAGAGAGACCTAAGAAGAACGAGAGAGACATGTAAAACATATTTCGTAGGGAACTTTCATCTCTACTGACATTCAGATGAAACAGCCACCTTCTTCTCTGCCACCAGAAGTAAAAACCCTTGAATATTTAGCTGAGTTCTCTATGCAGAAATATATGTGATGTCTGCGTAAGTATGTAAGTGCATATTGAATTTCCTTGAACAGTACTACTGAATAATGAGAGTAAAATTTCTAAATTTTTAAAAAATAGTCTCTTGTCTTATGATCTGTAAAAATTAAAGACTCTGTAATTAGTGGTGATGTTTTGTTATCTGTTGCCAGCTTTCTAAATCAACAACATACTCTATTCAAGGTAGACCTTCGGTGATTAAATGAAGGGCATGACGGTATTATTCTATTTTTGGTCCAGTAAACTTTACACCCTCCCACATAGCCTTTGGATTTCTTACAGAATTGTCACAACACAATTCAGATAACAGACAGTTCATTGGGTGGTCTTAGTAAATTTCTTTATCAATAATATATTTTACCAAGATAATAGGTTTATTTTAGCAAAAACATAGTGCTGCCATTGATTTTTGTCATGAAATAAACAAAATTAATCACCTTTTTTCACTCAGAAAAATATATTAAATCAAGTTTCCTCCTTCCTATAAGTCTAAAACATTAATACAGGATTTTACACTAATTTCTATTTAATTGTATCTCACTAATTGCAACCATTTTTAGCCAAAAAAAATTTTTTTCTCAAAAATCTTTTGGAACTTTTAAGAAAGTTAAGAAGGTTTTCTCCTCCTGTTTTTGGTTACCTATGAAATCTCTCTCTCTCTCTCTCTTTTTCTGGATGCTGTTCTACAATATAAATCAGAGGCTCCCTTAGTATGGAAAGAACATGGACAATCCTGGGTTCCTTGGCTTGAAGCTGACATAAAAGAAGCTATATTGCATGATTCATTCTTTAAAATAGCAACAACAAAGCAATAGTGCCAGGCAACTCATTATTTTCTTATTCAAAGCCTGGTATATCATCTTTCTATCTTATCCATTTTTTACCTAAAGTTTGCAAACAGGTAGCTTTATTTATTTATTTTTTTTATTGGGTATGGGGTGTCTCAGTGGATTTTATTTTTCACGAGGATCAAACAATGTAGGTAATTTGCCAACATCATAGACACGAGTGCGTGGGCAGGCAGCCAGGGTCTGAGCCACTCACCTTATTCTAGGGTGGTGGGATCCCATCGAACACTTTGAGGCGTTCCAGGGCAGCCTGGCCTTGCTTGGTCTTGTGGGGCAGCATGCCTCGCACAGTCTGCCAAAAGATGCGGCTAGGGGCCCGGAAGTGGTAAGGGCCGCGGGAAGGGTTGGTGTTCATCCGCTTGCGGAGGAAGGCCAGGTACTTCAACTTATTTCTGTAGAAATTCCCAGAAATATTGATGCCCTCACATCGTACAACCACCACCTTGCGGCCAAGCAGCACTTGTTTGGCCATGATGGCTGCCAAGCGGCCCAAGAGATGGCCTCGGCCATCTAGCACCAGGACCTGCCCCTCCGCCATCTTCGGCAGCCGCCTGGAAAAGCCAGGTAGCTTTATTTTTAACATTATTTATGCTTAGCAAACAGGTTCTCCAGAGTGCATGGTTGTTATAGAAAGAAACTCAGGAATCGGAGGTGACAATAAAGAGGTAATAGAATGTAATTGGATATAATTAAATGATATTATTAGTATATCAAATTCATAAGGCACTTATAAACACAAATCAATTCTTTAAAATGCCTATTTAGAGATTCCATGGGTGCTTTATTCAGATTTATACCTTTGAGAGTCATTCCTCTTTTATAAAAAGTGGGATATTTGTATATTTATTACTAGTCCTAAATCTTTTCTTTCTTTGGTCTTTTTGCTTTTAAAAGTTGAGAAGAGTCTCTCCTTGGTTTATTCATTTATTTTTTCAAAAGTTCTTTTTTTTCCCTCTGTCCTGGATGAAGCAAGTAATAAGGCTTAGCATTTATTTGTTTAGATTTGTAATGCAGTAAGCACATCACTTTTCCTCATTTGATTCTCTAAAAGCTTGTGAGATAGAAGCTGAGGACCAGAGTTAAACAGTCTTTAAATAAACCCCTGGCATAGGCCAAAGTTGGTCTAAACCTAGGCTTTGCTCAGTCTTCATGGCAGATCCTTTCTGGAAATTTTCCATGCAGTTGGTACATTCTTATTTACATACTTTTTCCTTCAGCTTTAGAAAATAATATCCAGTAAATTATAATCAGTCTGATTATCACCTGACCCAAAACTCACTGAATTTTATTTTTCAAATTGTACATTCCAATACTATACTCCGACTTGTGTATCCATGTACTGCATTCTAATTCTTAATATATACTTTTCTTCTGCCAAATATTATTCCCTCACTGCCCCTATTCAAGGCATTCTACTATGTCTGTGCTTGTTGTACAGGTCCCAAACCTTGGACCATTCAAAGCCATAGTAAGCAGTGATTCTCAAAACTGAACTTCTGATCTGACTCTCCAACTTAAAAGCATTTCCTAGCTCTGTACTCACCTTACCATTGTAGTTTGTGATTTTAACCACTTAGCAAGAAATATAGAATAGATCCTTATGGGAGATAGACTTTTCTTACCTTTTACTCTCTCTCTCTGTCTACCACATATTTGGAATAGGAGAAGCTGCAGGCAAGGTTAAAGGCCTTTGCCCTCTCGTGAACCATATAAACATAAAAAATAAGGGTTCCCGGACTTTTTCAACAGCTCAATCATTTGTCAAGAGCTTGGTATCTATGGTAAATATGGTGGTGTTATCAAGAAGCCCCTTTAAGGAAGTGTTGGTCACTCTGCCTCAGTACAATCCTCTACCAGGGCCTGCAACTGGGAGAAACCTACAAGGGCACACCCTTCCTAGGGAAGATTGCCTTACATTCAAGTTGATGTTCAGAGTGTGGCCTTCCTATGACTTTGGTTGTAAATCCTTTGCTCTAGAGTTGAATGCATTTGATTTGTCTTCGTTGGGCCTGCCTTAGGATTTGGTTTCTTCCTCTAACCAATTTTTCTCTCTCCAATATTCTTTCACACTTCCTTGCACACTGCTTGTGAAATGCACAATCTTAAGAGTTGTTCTGAGAGCTTCATCACTTTCCTCTCACAAAAGGCTACTGCAGTCCCTCAAATCCTGTCTATATCTTCTAGCACTAAACTAGTCAAAAAAAAGGGAAGAAATTACCTGTCAAGAACAAAGCAATGGAGCAATTTATGTTGTTTTATTGTAGAGGAAGTAATTTCTTAATATGCTATGGAAAGTTACGTGTTCATTTCACTAAATCACATGATTAGCACTAATGTGAGGGAGGTTTTTATTTTTCCCTCTATCTTCAAATGCTGACTCCTTCAGTAGGGAGAAAAGGTCAGGTACCTGGGAAGACTGTATCTGGAAGACATATTTAAAAATTTATACATCTCTCCTAAAAAGAATTGTAAGAAACTATATTTCCTTGAACATTAATTTCACATCAAAAACTGTTTCATTATAAATGAAAAGGTTGTTTAAGAATATGTTTTCCAGCATCTGTAAATATTTTAAGAGAAAAGTTTTATATTACTCCTTGCATAAATCTAGGGGGATATGAATACAAGAATTTTTTTGATTTGTTTAAACAAAAATCCTCTTAAAAATGGAAGTTTTCAAACATTTAAAACATGTACCAAAATGGAATCATAAAGTATATTTCCACCTACTTATAATGCAACTTCAAGTCATTACCATTCTGACTGTTTATATATTTTTTGATTATTTTTCTTCTTTATTGGAATATGTCAAAGCAAATCACCAAATGATATTTTTTCTTACCATAGCAAAACTCAGATGAAATAACAGTTGATTCACAAATGATTTAAAAATAAGTATTAACTGGGGACTAATAGCTTATCCTGTAATCCTAGCTACTCATGAAGATGAGATCTCAGGATCCAGGTTTAAAGCCTGTCCCTGCAGGAAAATTCACAAGACCCTTATCTGCAATTAACCACCAAAGAAGCCAGAAGTGGAGCCGTGGTTCAATTGAGCTAAACAGTTGAGGGATAGGACTCAGGCTCAGAGTTCAAGTCCCAGGATGTCCACCCCTGCCTCCCCCACAGACACACCAATGTTTAACAGAGACCAAACGACAAGATCCATTCATTATGCCACAGCCAGCAGAATGAATAACAATCCCTTAACAGTGTGTCATACTAATGTGTGTTATTTTTTGTTCTGTTTCCACATTTTTCTCATTTCTATTGGACAATTTAAATTAGAAGCCAGAGAGGGTCCATGCATTACATTTGGCTGATTTCTTTTGAGTGTCTTCATGTATATTATTGCTATTGCTATGTTTTCTTTTTTAGTCTGTAACATTTCCATTTATGGAGCTGTAGCTATTGTCTTACAGAAGTTCACATATTCTAGATATAATTGTGTTCTTATAATCCTGTGTTTTTGGTGGTGTTTAACATATTTCTCTTTTTGAGAGAAGTGTCTTATGAACTTTTTGCCTTGAACTCAGTCTTTAGAGAGTAAAGTAGGATGCATTTGATTCTGTGGGTAAGACACTACACCACACCTACAATTCTTTTTTTTCCATGTGGAGTCATGGGCACCTTTTTAACTTGGATTTTGTTTTCTATTGCTTGAAAACCTTGAAAAATTTTAGTATCATCTTTCTTTCCAGTATGGAAGGCCTTTTCTTATAAAAATAGGCCATATCACCAAAATATTTTCTGTTTATGTTGTCCTGTTAAAACATAAATGATATTTAGAGACAGTGATCTGAATACACCATAGATTTTGATAATTAACAATACTCTTTAAAAAAAATGCTCACAACAGGTGACATTGTCCAAAATGAAATATACTCATTCCTGACTTATGAAATGGTAACCCCTTTCTACATCACTTTTATAGTAACAATAAAAATATTTAATTTAAAAAGTTAACTAAAGAAGAGTAATGGTTAAAAAGTAATCTCAATAATCCTATCAAAACTTTCATATTGTTTCATTTTTCCCTGAATTTTTATTCACATTCTGCTATCTTTAAACCATTTTCTTCTAGGGGAATGTGTTTGTTTGAAATTTGGTTAGTAATTTTATTATAATTGTAAAAATCCTTCATGACCATTCCAGGGAACCATGCAGAGGCAGGCAGGCACAAGAGAAAGATTAGTATAAGTTTTATTAGAGGGACCCTGTCTTCGGAGGAGAGGGGGCACATGGCATCTCCCCCTATCCAGGTGGCAGGCAGGTGTGTGTGTGTGTGTGTGTGTGTGTGTGTATGTGTGTGTGTAAGGAGGGAATGAGGGTGGAAGTGAGGAAAGTGCTTGCAGGGTAGTTGTAGGTGGAGAGAGGGAGTGGCCAGTTGTATGTTAGGAACTGTAGGGCAGGGAGGCGCTCAGGTCTAAGTGGAGAGAGGACTAAAGGTGGGGCTAATACTAATAATAATAATTCTCTGCAACACTATTTGGAGAAAATTTAATTTTTTTTATTCCTTGTAATCCTGTGTCTCTAAGCCTTAAATTTCCCATCATCCTGAAGAAATGTTATAAAACTTAATAAAAATGTTTTTCTAATGATCTAATTGTTTAAGAAACACAAGACACTTCTCATTTCATACATTTTGATGTATTTGAATTCAGCATATCTCCAAATTTGTCAAAATACAGTGTTTCTAATGTCATGTTTTTGAATCATTGAGAAAGGCCATATAGTAAGACTCTGGATAGGCAAAAGGTAGAAGTCAAAATTCAGGTACATTAAAATTACAGTATGCAATTACCTTCAAGCTATGTATATAAGGTATGAATGAAACGCATATTCTTATATAGACTTCACTCTTCACTCCTAAGTTATCTAATTATGCAGCCAGTAATAGTTCAAAATAAAATAATTCTTCAAATCCAGGATATTTTTGGTCCAAGAATTCTAAATAATGGATACTTAACATGCATTACACTGCCAAGTTACAGCCAGTTTATTGCAAATGCTGGCTGATTTTTTTTTTGTAGACAATTTTTTTAAAAATATTGAGTATGAGTGGGATTGCTAAATCAAAAGGTGTCTAAGGGTGAACTAATTCAGCAGTAATACTTACTAGACACTATGTTTGTTGAAAATGAACTATGCAACTTTGGATGTAAGGGGAGTCAGGAGGAAAATAACTGGAAGAGAGAGAAGAAGTGACACTGTTCAAACTGAAACGTACTCAATACCTGACCTATGTAACTGTAACCCCTCTGTACATCAACTTTTGCAATTTAAAAAAAGCTATATATGTTATAACTTTCTTCACATCTCCTAAATATAAAAATCTATTCTCTTTTCCATTTCCTGAATCTGCAGAGTGGTTTGTGGGTTTTTCCATACAGAAAGTTTAAAATTCATAATGTATGTGCTGTGTATGTTATCTGTAGGGTCCTAAACTACATCAGATACAGGATGTTTGTACAGGAAAATCCTGAGTGGAGTGGAAGGCAAAGTCCCTCTCTTCCTATCTCCCTCTCTGCCCTCTTTGGGACCTGTCTCTGCTTTTCC